TCCATCTTTTAGACATCAAAATAATTTGAGCACATGATTTTGGAGCATCACATCATCCATTTTCTCCAAGCATCACACCATTCACTTTTTCTTCAAGCTTCATGGCATTTGCTTTCTTTTCAAAAGAATGATATTCCCCATGAATGCCAATTTAGTGTTTGTAATGGTGAATCATCAAAAAAAAAAAAAAATCAAAAAAAAAAAAAATCATGTTTTAGGATATAATTTCACACACCTTACCACTTGTCAGCATATTTATATTCTTGCATCCTTTATCACTCATTTCCCATCCATGGTTATTTCTTTTCGTGCATTCCCAAAAATGCATGCTTTAGGATACAACTCCACACACATTATCACTTTAGAGCATATTCATGTTCTTTCATCCTTCATTTGTTGCATTCCCATAATCTTGCTTGATTCTCTGCCTTCAACAATTGAAATATGGGTTCATACATGGTCAAGTGCGATTCTTTATCAATCAAGACACCTTTTGAAATATTCATCCGTGGAGAAAGCTTTGACCAACAGAGGGTTGAGGAGATCTTTAACTGCAAGCATTTTTCTCCATCGTGGACAATTGCCAAGTCCAAGGGGCAAGCTTAGAAGGACAAGAACCAAGAGCAACCTCAAAGATCAAAAGCTCAAGCACATCGCACTTTATATGGCTCTAGCAATCAAGGGATTCTCCAAGGAAAGGAATGCCATTACTCATTGAACAATCATACTTTGAGAAATCTAGGAGTCAGATTTTGCTAGGAACTTGAATGCTACCATGTTGATGTACTTAGTATGATGTACTAGGCTTCTACTTTGTAATGAATGAGCAACTTTGTAATGCATGCTGAACTGCTTGTAAGTGTCTTTTCTATAGCCCTTTTGAGTCTAATGGAAATCTCAATGTGTTCAAAGATATGTTGCTTCATTTGAGGCTCCCTGAGGATTGGAAATCGATAATGTGTGAATCCATATAGCAATTGTTGAAGCACTAAATCATGCAGAATTATGGGATGACTTCTAACATTATTCTGACTTTGTTTATTTTTCTTTTACTTTTTGTTTGTAGGTAGGTTTCATAAACTACTTCAAGAACAAAAACAAAAAAATCAGGCATGATAGTCTCCCTATGTTTTCTCACTCTTTGGAACAATGCATCATCCATCTAGAAAGCAACCTTCAACATACTCTTATAAGCTCACCAAGATATGATGTTGAAGTGGACTGACATGTGGATCTAGATTCAATGAATGAGGGGGCAAATCTAGGACATGGGGAAATTTGAGTATTATTGTTCTTAAGGATGAACCCCTATTTGACTTGACCATTACTTTTGCCTTGGGGACACTTTGGCCAATTGGACAGTCAAGCTTTTCTCTGCTTCATTCATCCATGACTGGGATGAGTCAGCTTTCTAGTAGCTCAGCTTGTGGCTACATGAAAGGAGGGAATAACAAGCTCTTTTATATTCTCTGAAATATTTTGCTATCATGCTAATTAGTTTTCCCAGTCTTTACAATTTAGTAACATATGTTGCCATATTGTCATCTTTCAAACTTGATGCAACTCTTCTTGATGCCATTAAT